GATTTGATTAACCGTTCGTTGGATCTCAAGACACGCGTCGAGTCGTTGAGCTCACAATTGACGGACAAAAAGAGTCACAAAACAGATCTGACGAACAAAACAAAGAGTTTGACCAAAAGGTTGGACGAAATGGAGTGTAAAGTGAAAGAATTGAAACAACAAAACAATGGCAACGATACCAATGAATACCTTCTTCTGGCGTCTGTCATGCGAGTCATGTATAAGACATGGAGTAATTCACAAGTGATCGGATGTAAGACCTGCTGTTTTCGTCCAATCATTCATTAGTTTTAACGTTTTTCAACTTTTTTTTAGTGCTTTTCAATGACAACGAAGAGAAGAGTTTAGAAAGACTTATAGTTATGGATAATGAGAACAAATGCCAGAAAACAATGTCTCAACAGTTTTGGCATTCACTCGATAATGACTATCAGCTCAACAACTGATCCAAACATTAGTTTATATTTCATTACTTCACACTTATATACAATATTTTGAGATATATTATAGTTTTCTTAAATGCCTTTTAAAAGTTTTAATTCATTGTATCCTTTCATTAATAATTGAATAAAATCTTTATTACAATTTGAAAATCAATACAGAATATGATATTAGAAATAAAGAGCAAAAAACAAAATGACATTTAAGTGATGGTAACGTTTGCGTCCATACAATAGCGCTGTAAGAATGAGACGGCATTTGGAGGCAAACCAGTAGTAATGAGAGGATTGAGTTTTCCCGGATGTTTGGCCGACAGTTTGCCCAAACACTGCGCCAAATATATTCTCGGATCAGAGACCACACCCGCCAATGGGTCGCGATCTCGATGTCCAGCGAATACGAGTTGCGAATACGAGGCCTGATATTCGAGTGTGTCTTCGATTTCGATGAAGTGCTCGTCGTCTGGAATGGTCTCATCGACGGGCAGTTCGAAGAGCGCCACCAATGACTGCAATACCGGAGCCCAGAATTGCGAGTATTGGCCGACGATTGTCGAGTCGAGTTCGCACAAAATCTTCGTCATTCCGAACGCAATGATCTTCTTCTCCACATTTCCCGACACTTTCTGGACCTCAGGAATGAAGAGTTTCTCCAAAACCATTCCAAACATTCTCTGTTGCAGCGAATCGATTGTGTCGGACAGCGATTGGACGCCATATTTGTAGGCGAAGAGCGAGAAGAAGACGAGAAGACATTTGATGTATTTCGTGGTCTTAGAACTGGTGAGGCGTTGGAATAATATGACGAACACTTGTTTCATATATTGGGCCAAACTTTCGGGAGCAGCGAATTGAATGAGAGACTGCAATATATAAAAGCCCTGATTGTCGTTAGCCTTCGAAGCGATTAATTTCTGAAACACTCCTAATAATGGCTGCAATTTTTGGGAATCAATGATCTGTTGCGAGGCTTTCTCTATGTATGCCTGAAGTAAGCGAACCAAAGGCGCGATATTTGCCGGTCTGTCCCATAGGACTGGCACTAAAAGGTGCGGAAATAACTCCATATAAGGATCAGAAATGGTGTTTTCGTAGACCTCCAGAAGCAATGATAGTATTTGGAAGACATATGGCATAAATTCTTGAACGTCTTGTATGAGAATCTCTTGAAATATTGGAAACAAAACGGATTCAAAGTTTGCGACAAACGAACGCTCTTTTCGACACGCGATACGAATGGAAAGACTTAATGTCTCGAAGAGATAGTGATTAAAGTGAGGTTTCGTCGGATTTTTCGTCACTTCAGATAATTTTTGGGTTAATTTTGGTAAGAGTTGAGGAAAATATGGCAAAGTCTGCTCCTGTAGTAAACTAAATGACCTCATAATGGCTTTCATAGCGTATTCATTCTCATTAGATCCGGGCATTGAGAAGATGCCAAACAATCCATTAAGCAATGGTTCCATCAATGGCTGCAAGTCTTGAGCTTTTATTGACGGCAACTTCTGTTGAGACGAATCTCTTATTGTGAGCAACTTTTCCAGAGTGTGGGCGGCATAGGTATGCACGACAACACTCGGGGCCGACATGTGCTGCACTATTAGCGCCAAACTCGGAATCAACACTTCTTTTAGAGGTAATTGATTTCGAAAAGTCATTATATATTTGAGAGCATCGGCTCTAAGGACAGGAATTTCTGTCAAATTAGTGTTCCTCTCGAGATCTGGTCGAATGACATTCACGAAGAAGTCGGTTATGTTCACCAACTCTGATGTAGAAGTAGTTCCCAAGCGAGCGGTTCCAGACTTGACGGCCAGCGAAGTGACCAAATAAATGGCCGAATCCTTGTTCTTCCAGTTCACGACCGGATTCTCGTTGTATTTCTGAAGCATTAGTTGAATGTATTGACTGAACACTTGAGTCATTTCTTTCTCAAAAAATCGCGACAAAGCCTTTACGAGATCACAGGCCGCCCGCCGGCGGGTGTCTACGTCTGAGCCCTCGATATCACGGCGTATATACTCTTCGGGATTGTCTTCAAACAACTCCTCGTCTGAGACTCGAAACTCCATATTTGGGACAATAATCTTAGAACTGATTGAATCCAAAACGTTGTCCGCTTTGAAGAGATGCTGGTATTGACTTCTGTCGGCCACCGACGACAAGAAGTGGATGGCATTACTCACTAATATGTCATATTTGGGTTCAGCGCCAGTTGTGATCAGTAAAGTCCACACCGACTGAACAAATCCGGGCAAATATGGGGCGAATTCCTCGTTATATTTGGACGCATACATCGCTATGTTATCGCAAATCTGAGACTTCAACTGCTCTATAAGTCCGGCCTCTTCTTCGCTGTCCGTTTGCAGACACTTGTAATCGGCGGACAACAAGTCGAGGAAGTGTTTCATCCAAACCGACATATTGTCCTCAAAAAATTCAGGCAAGTCTTGAGTGTTAAGACTATTGAATATTTTGGCGCAAAGTATGAGTGAACTAAAGATAATCTTAAGACTTTGCGGTTGATTGGCGTGACTGACAACCAACTGATTGGTCCACACGAAGAGATCGGTGAATGGCTGCGCGAATCGGGTCAACACATACTTGATTTCAGTCCACAATTCGTTTGATTGAAATTCGTGTCGATATCTCTTGAAGAGAGAGTGAGCCGTCTGTAAGACACCATTGATTACATTGAAGTTGGGCTCAGAGGCGGACATCCGGCCAATCATGTCGTCCAAAAGGTTGGGCCACTTCGCGGGGAAGTCTTCGCGACCAATAATACTGACGGAATCGCTTAACTGTCTTTGGATCTGTTCGGGACTCCTGAGCATCAGATCGATGATCACTGTCTTGATTTGGTTCCTGTCGTTGTCACTGATCTTATTGACCACATCCTCGCTCTGAGGCCAATGTCTTTTGACCAGATTCTTGAAGGCGATGGCGGCGCTCATCCGGACCGTAAGGTCGGCGCCATTCGTGTCAATCAATGTCAGCAAAAGAGTGCCGAAACCGTCCGACCCTTCAATCGATTGCAACCCCTTTTCGGCGTTACGTCTGACCAACGGATCCGCTGACAGGGTTTGCAACAAATGGGTCGACAATTCACTCAACGATGAGTTCATTATTTCAAACGATTTATACTTTAATTAATTATTCAATAATTAGTGACAAAAATTGAATCCAAACTCGAGTTTTCAAAACCGCTTTCGCTGTAAAAACACAACGTTTTGGTCACACATTGACTGCAATACTGCAGACATCACATCAATTACGTCCACAACTCACACACCCTTTGATCACAAACTTGTCATTCATTCATACGATTCTTACAACACGTCTATTAAATGTAATTTTGACATCTATTTAAAGCACATTATTATAACATTAAATTGTTTTAACCATCAATTGATGCAATTATGCACTCAATTATTACATTCGTTGTTTTGTTGTCTCAAATTGTGATATAGGAAAGTTTGTAGCAGAATCAACATTTATCATGGTTATTCCCTTAAGGCAGCACAAAGTTGAACATAATAAGAATCGATACAATCATTTTGATTATCAAATAGATTATAATCTTACAAATTAATTATTTTGGTCTTATTTTTGACGAATATTTTCAATATTGTTTGAGGTTTTAATATTAAATGTGTATTTATATGTTATGTTAGTATTGTGTATATATTGTCCAAAAAATTGCATTAATGTCATAGTTATGAAGAGTAGAATTCATTCAGAATAGGACTCCTTTAATGAGTGTTTTAGAAAATGGTTTGTCTAAAAATAAGCCAAAAGTGATTTAGTTGTAGAATTTGTAAACTAAATACCAAATATTATTTTATTCTTTAAAGTTTGAATTTTATGATAATTTAGAATATTTACGGTTTTACACAAAAACCGTTAGTAATAATAGCTAGTGAAACACATGTGAAATACATATGAGACAATAATTGATTCTTATCCACCGTTAGCCAATACTTTCAGTTGTGAAACAAACTAACCGTGCTTAGACTGAGAAACAACTTCCAAACGTTTCATATCTTTAAGCAGAATATAAAGTAAGAGCTGTTTATAGAATACATTACATGAGAAATAAAGTGAATGTAAAATTATATTCCACGAACCGAACTGAATAAAACTCATCTAAAATTGTATGTCTAAAACACTTTACTGTAATTGTATTGCATATAAATTGCAACAATATTTAAAGTAA